GGAAGGAAGGAAGGAAGGAAGGAAGGAAGGAAGGAAGGAAGGAAGGAAGGAAGGAAAGAAGGAAGAAAGGAAGGAAGGAAAGAGGGAAAGAAGCAAGAAGGCAGGGAGGGAAGGAAGAAAAGAAGGAGGGAGGGAGGGAAGGAGAGAGGGAGGGAGGGAAGGAAGGAAGAAGGAAGGAAGGAAATTTTTAATTTATCTTTGTGACTTTTGCAACTCTCCCTGGAGACTTGCGTGGAACTGGTGGTTGTGAAAGTCACCACTGGTTGCCACTGTCCAAGTGAAGACTTAGTTTAGATGCAGCAGCTTCTCCCAGAACAGTTTACTATTCCCATTACCTCCTCACTACTTCCTATTTCTTGCTTTAAGGAGCACCTCAAGATGAAAAGAAAAAGATAAGACAATGTAGACATCATCCCCACATTTCCTTCCCTGCTCCTTCTTTATTGAAAGTATGAGAAAATATTGATGTTTACGAGATTTACATGACCTTCAACTTAATTAATTTACATTTCCTTAGCATATGCTATAAGCAGGAGATGGCTATGTGAACCTGAAAAAGTCAATCCCTCAAGATGAATCCTGAGTGGTAAACAGGACCTAAATTTAAAATAGAACCAAGTGGCCATTTGCTGACTAGAGGTTACACACATACTGTGAGTTCCCAGAAAAGCCATACATCTGCTTAACTTTGAAACTTTCATAATTAACTGTTCTTGCCCATGTTACCTGAATCAACCAATAGACTGTGGCCTGCATCAACCAATCAGAACTAAGCAACTTCTAATCTTTCATTTTCATAGGAGGACCTGACTGAAAACCTAAATGGGAACTTTCTCTATAAAAGCCAAACAAACCCTGCCTTTGTTCTCTGGAATGCACCTTCAGTTTATGCTGAGGGCTATTTCTACCCAGTTTGCAAACTGTTTACTAGAATAAAATCTCTTTCCTCTAAATTCCTTCTCAGAACTTTTGCTCACACTTAGGAGTGGAGGTGTGTACTTGATCAATTGCTTCAAATAATCATATGGACTACTGGCATGGAAATCTTCTAGTATAATAGCTACATTTCAAATTACAGACACATTTCCCCACTATATTAAAATGGCAATCAGCTGACTGAAAACCAAAGCATTACAATGGAGTGACATATTAGAAACCCTCTGAGAATAGAGGGAGTGAAGAGATATGTCCTGCTGGAAAATTGGTTAGAAACAAACAAACAAACAAACCAGAGACCTTCATCCAAATAAAGTCCATTCTTGT